CCACTTAAATACTGAAAGAATCTGGGCGTTGTTTTCCTCATCTGTAAAACGGAGTCAACATTAGGGCTTAAGTCAGAGTTTCTCATCCTCAGGAGCACTGACATTATGGGCTGTTCTGTGCATTGTGGAAATTTAGCAGCATTCCTAATTTTTGCCCACTAGATGCCGGTAGCATGCACCACCATCACTACCATTCTGTTATGGCAACCAAGAATGGTTCCAGACATTGCCAAATATCCCCTGGGTTATAAAACCACTCTGAGAAGCACTGACCTAACTTAAAAGATAGTTGAGATGAGTTCGCCAGTTAATATGTGCAAAGAGCTAGAAGGGTGTCAGGCACAGAATATTTAATGTTAGATAGGAGTATGGCAATGGTGATAATGAGACGACGATTTTATATATATGTATCTCTCTGACTAAACCGTATTCTTGTGTTATGTAAGCTTGATTTAGATGGGTATAAATGAAAGAAACTCATGAAAGATTTGTTTAAAATAAATATTTTAAAAAGGACTTGTAAGAGTATAGTTTTTAGGGTTATTTCAGGAAATTTTCCACAAGCATATATAGGTAAAAATGCTTTATATATAAGATTGTATATTAAAAGAACCAAATAAATATTTATTTGGTATAATGTTAGTTATCTCAGCATAGAACCAATACCCTGACAAAACCAATGTCCAGATAAGAATGTATGGAACATCCATTTTTTAAAGGAAGATTACAAATACTTTTAGATTTTCTTCATCCAGTCTGTTATTAATGAGCATTTAGGTTGATTCCATGTCTTTGCTATTGTGAACAGTGCTGCAGTGAACAGTGTGCAGGTGTCTTGGTACATATGCACTGTGGAGTATTATGCAGCCATAAAAAGAACAAGATCATATCTTTTGTGGGAACATGGATTGAGCTAGAGGCTATAATCCTTACAAACTAATGCAGGAACACAAAGCCAGATACCATATATTATCACTTGTAAGTGGGAGCTAAATGATAAGAACTTAAGAACACAAAGAAGGAAATAACAGACGCTGGCGTCTACTTGAGGCTGGAGGGTGAGAGGAGGGAGAAAAGCAGAAAAGATAACTATTGGGTGCTGGGCTTAATACCTGGGTGATGTAAAAATATGTACAGAAAACCCCCATGACACATATTTATGTAACAAACCTTCACAGGTACTCCTAAACCTAAAATAAAAAATTTTAAAAACCCACAAATATTATTAGAGAGGCTAATTAACATTTAAATGAGTTTGTATTTAAGAACATCTAGACATGGATTAATCATTTACTAATAAATGTTCCAACTTTGATAAATATGTTGAGATTATAAATTAAACTTCAAAATATGTCTTACCTGAAGTCTTAACAGGGTCAGAATAATCAGAGTCAGTAAATTGTCCCATAACATTTGTAGCTCTAAATTTAAATCTATAAAATAAAAAAAGAAAAATCAACACTTTGCATATCATGTGATTTTTCCTAGGAATAACTCAAGAAATAATTATAAAAACTATATATTTTATTCAAAATAAAAT